TGAGGCAAGGTTGTGTCCTTGCACCAACACTTTTCAACACCTGCATGGACTGGATAATGGACAGAGCTACTACCCAAAGTCAGTGTGGAGCAACACTGGGCAATATTAAGGTCTCAGACCTTGACTTTGCTGATGATGTTGATATCCTATCTGAGCCCCTGGACTTACTGGTAGCAGCACTTGATGCAATGAGGCAAAGCCCTTGGGCCTAGAGGTCTCCTGGACTAAGACCAAGATTCAGGACTTTGGGGGCCTGTTAGGAGAACTCGTTCATTCGATCCATGCTTGCGGTGAGGATGTTGAAGTCAAAGAACTTTACATACCTTGGTAGTGTGGTCCGTATCTCTAGGCTGTCAGACCAAGAAGTCAGTAGACAGATTGGCCGGGCAGCAAGAGCCCTGAGCTCAATCAACAAGAGCATTCGGAGATGTCAGTACCTATGGAAAAGGACCAAGCTACGTGTCTTCAAGGCTTTGATACTAAACCTGGACGCTATCTAGTGCCTTGAAGTCTCGTCCTGATGCTTTTTGTAACAAGTCTCTTTGCCGGATCATGGGGTACAGTTGGCAAGACCATGTGTCCAACCATTGGCTACACTATGAGACTGGTATGGGATCTGTTACTTGCATAATCCAAGATAGCCAACTCAGGCTATATGGGCACTTTCCTTATTTCCCTGTGAATAACCCTGCCCATCAGGTTGTCTCTCTGCGAGACAATCCTGGGTGGAGGAGGCATGTGGGATGACCTAGGAGGTCATGGCTTGGGCAGCTTGATGAGACCTGCTGCGAGGAGTTAGAGATGGGCTGAGGGTCTGCCTGGAGACTCGCCATGTGGGACCCTTGTGGCTGGAAGTGAAGGGTGGATACAGCCATATGCCCCCATGGACATTGCCCCTTGATGATGATGATGAATAATGCTATTAATACTGACATAACACTGAATGCTGATTTTCTTTTAACTGTGTAAATTGTGTAATTTATTCAGCAAAATGCATGTCTGAACTTAAAACAGTAGACCTAATGACTGGTGCAGATTTAACTGTAAAGGCTTTCGAAATTCGGAAGTTAATATTAGATACGATTTTTATAATGGCTCAAATAACAAATTCTTTAAAGTATTGTATTTGAGTGTTTCTAATCGAAGATCTCTAGAATATCTTGAGTTAAAGCAAGCTGTCAACGGAACCGGCAGAAGGCTTGTCTAGGTTGTTATGCGCACACCATCTCGTAAACACAACTGGGTTAAGTGTAGTCAAAAGGGGAAAACTTGCTCAAACTCAAACAGACTCATTAGAATTTTAAGTAAAAAGAGAGAAACGTTATTCCAATTATTTTCGAAGAATTTTACGACAGAAATACTGCTTTATAACTTTCTTGTGAACATTGCTTTGTTTAAATAGGAAATTATGCTCTTTCGTTAGATCTTTTCGTTACATCTGGACTACTTATCCCTTTCATATATAAAATGTTATATGCACTGCTGAACTAACCATGAATCCTTCATTATCATTATATGCTGTGAAAGAAATCCATTTCTGTAAGACTTTTCTAAATCTGTTTCATTTCTTTCTTTATGCAGTTGAGGCAAATGAAGCTGTGACTCAAGTTTCTCAAGTTCAAGAACAAGCTGCAGTTGAGGCTAGTGAAGCTGGAATTCAAACATCTCAAGATCAAGACCAAGTTGGAGTTGAGGCCAATGAAGCTGTAACTGAAGCATCTCAGGCTCAAGAACAAGCTGAAGTTGAGGCTAATGAAGCTGTAACTGAAGCATCTCAGGCTCAAGAACAAGCTGAAGTTGAAGCCAATGAAGCTGTAACTGAAGCATCTCAGGCTCAAGAACAAGCTGAAGTTGAAGCCAATGAAGCTGTAACTGAAGCTTCTCAGGCTCAAGAACAAGCTGAAGTTGAAGCCAATGAAGCTGTAACTGAAGCTTCTCAGGCTCAAGAACAAGCTGAAGTTGAGGCCAATGAAGCTGTAACTGAGGCATCTCAGGCTCAAGAACAAGCTGAAGTTGAAGCCAATGAAGCTGTAACTGAAGCATCTCAGGCTCAAGAACAAGCTGAAGTTGAGGCCAATGAAGCTGTAACTGAAGCATCTCAGGCTCAAGAACAAGCTGAAGTTGAGGCCAATGAAGCTGTAACTGAAGCTTCTCAGGCTCAAGAACAAGCTGAAGTTGAAGCCAATGAAGCTGTAACTGAAGCATCTCAGGCTCAAGAACAAGCTGAAGTTGAGGCCAATGAAGAACAAGCTGAAGTGAGGCCAATGAAGCTGTAACTGAAGCTTCTCAGGCTCAAGAACAAGCTGAAGTTGAAGCCAATGAAGCTGTAACTGAAGCATCTCAGGCTCAAGAACAAGCTGAAGTTGAGGCCAATGAAGCTGTAACTGAAGCTTCTCAGGCTCAAGAACAAGCTGAAGTTGAAGCCAATGAAGCTGTAACTGAAGCTTCTCAGGCTCAAGAACAAGCTGAAGTTGAGGCTAATGAAGCTGTAACTGAAGCTTCTCAGGCTCAAGAACAAGCTGAAGTTGAAGCCAATGAAGCTGTAACTGAAGCTTCTCTCAGACAAGCTGAAGTTGAAGCCAATGAAGCTGTAACTGAAGCATCTCAGGCTCAAGAACAAGCTGAAGTTGAAGCCAATGAAGCTGTAACTGAAGCTTCTCAGGCTCAAGAACAAGCTGAAATTGAAGCCAATGAAGCTGTAACTGAAGCTTCTCAGGCTCAAGAACAAGCTGAAGTTGAAGCCAATGAAGCTGTAACTGAAGCTTCTCAGGCTCAAGAACAAGCTGAAGTTGAAGCCAATGAAGCTGTAACTGAAGCTTCACAGGCTCAAGAACAAGCTGAAGTTGAAGCCAATGAAGCTGTAACTGAAGCTTCTCAGGCTCAAGAACAAGCTGAAGTTGAAGCCAATGAAGCTGTAACTGAAGCTTCTCAGGCTCAAGAACAAGCAGAAGTTGAAGCCAATGAAGCTGTAACTGAAGCTTCTCAGGCTCAAGAACAAGCTGAAGTTGAAGCCAATGAAGCTGTAACTGAAGCATCTCAGGCTCAAGAACAAGCTGAAGTTGAGGCCAATGAAGCTGTAACTGAAGCTTCTCAGGCTCAAGAACAAGCTGAAGCTTCTCAAGATGAAATTACTTCGGACTTATCCCGCAGTGATCTGGTGCCCGAAAATCCTGCAGATGCTTCATCAGTTGTGGAAGTGATTACAGAAGCATCTCAAGCTGAAGAGCCAGAAGAAATTATAGAAGCCAATGAAAGTGAACAGACAACTGAGCAAATTCCAGAAAGTATAGTTTCTGCCCAAGCAGAAAAGAAACTGGAAGCAAAACCTGAAGAAGTTGTTACTGAAGCCTCTGAGAGTGAACAAGTAACCGAAATGCTTCCAGAGAGTGAGGCTGTGCCTGAAGCTTCTGTTGCTGAACAAGAAACAACTCCAGATGTTATTCCAGAAGGGTCTCAGGTGCAAGAAGGAACTGTGAGTGAAACCTCTGTCCCAGAAGCAGCAGAGGAAGCACCAGTTGCTCCAGAAAGTGAGGTAGCTCCTGAAGTGTCCACTGCAGTAAAGAACAAAGAAACTACTCCTGAAGAAAGTACTGCAGAAGCTTCTCAAGCTGAAGAGGGAACTAAATCTGAAGAGCCAACAGCAGAGGCAATAGAAGCCGAAATTGTGACTGAATCATTCTCAATGTTTGATGATGCTGGATCAATTCGTGTAAGTGTTAATGGCGATGCTTACCAAAACATCAATGATTTGTCTAAGCCACAAACTCAAGAAAATGGAACAGAAGAGGAAATTATTTCTGAACCTGTTGTTGATGCTAGTAACACCGATGATGATGAATATTGGAAGATGATGGCCAGGAACTCTTCATTGCCACAGACTGAGGGAACTTCACCTGCATCAGACTCAACAGAGGCTACTGCCACAGAAGCCATTGACAAGCAAATTGAGAAGGTTGCCGAAAAGTATGGACTAAAACCAACCAAGACAACAACCCAAGCACAGAGCAACAAGTCACAAACACAGATCAACGAGCTTAGGAGGAAGAGGGGCTTCGTTGACGCAGTTGCCGACTACGTTGCAAGCCTCTTTTAATTTATCAGCTCAGCCAATATATACTGCTATGTATGACGGGCAGTAAACCTTTTAGTTTTAAAGTTATTTATATAATGTAATAATACTGGACAGGTGTGCTTATCGAAACACTTTAGAAATAATACTATATGTAAGTATATGACGAAAATTCGAAAGGAAAAAATATGATGTATGGAACAAGGAAATTCAAATCTTACAAAGAATAACATAGATTCCTGGCTAATGTAAAGGATTTATATGTAATTCACATATAAGATTTAGGGCATTTAAATGTTTAAAATGTTTCAGAAACAATAAATCTATCTCTGCAAGTATACTACACAACCTAAACTGCTTATTGTTGATAAGCTTTTACAACATGGATATGCCTTAATCAAGTAGGTAATACAGTCTGTCAAAAGATTATGCACTACTAGATTATTCGTATGGTGGAAATGTGCTCTTTGCTTATGGTTCCATGACTTTTCACCTTTCAGGAAGATTTAAGTATTTCAGATCAAGCTTTTCTCCTTGTTCTATGTAGGTTGTTAAGTCCTATTGTATCTCTTTATATTTATTATTCAACTAGTACGTATGCCTATTGCATTACATTTACCTAAGCAATTCTACTGTATAGGATAGGAACAACAAAATAGTTGGGAAATATAGTTCACACAGATTGCATTTTTACATCAAGTTTGAGCACTTTTTGGTTTACGAAAAGTAACCCTGCACTAGTTACAGAAATTTACAGTCTTAATGTTAAATCTGTATACTCATTGAAACTAGGGCAAATTAAGATAATTGCAAAAAAAAAAAAGAATACTCCAAAATATGTAAGTTTCTGTAATATACCCTTAATTGGGTGCAAGCGTAGGAATGAGAGAATGTATGCGTGCCAAGCATTGGAAATAAATTATTTATTAAAGTGTGTATTTAATAAATCATCCCATATATACAGTAATGTTTGTATAAGAACATAGCTCATAAATTGATATATTACCAAATAATTGTATATGAAGTACATTATTTCCTTGTTACTTGAACATGGAGAGGCTCTGAAATTATCGATCTGGAAGTTAGCAAAAACCCAAGACTGGAAGCTGCTTACCCTGGGTATTAGTATCAATCACAAAATTGGCAAGAACAAATTGATTCTTAACCTTTCAAGCAGACATTTCACCCAGAAAAAGGTGTTGGCTCATTTACAATACCACAAATTCATAAGCATAAACAATATTTCTTTTTTAGCTAATAATATGTACACCCACCACGTATGCCTTTCCAAAAATAATGCCGATAACTGTGAACATGAACAGATCTTGGAAAACCTAAAGCATGGCAATATTATTATAATGACTAATCCAGACAAGGGAAGGGGATAGGTATCCTTGATAAATCTGATTTACAAAAAAATATACTTTCAGACACCAATAATTTAAGATTATATCTACTGAGCTCGCTACCCATCTCCTCAAACTGGAAGACAAAATTAACAGGATCATATGTTCTTTATAATTATGTATTAGCGAGACTGTGTTTGAACCTATCTTTGCAAGTTTATTTGGACTTCCCAAATTAAACAAAAACGGCGCACCGATAAAGCCTATCTCTTTAATCAATAATATTAATTATAACTTAATATCCTCTTAACATTTAACCAATACAGCCTTAGACTCCACAGACTTTGCAAATAAGATATGCAAATTAAATGTTGATGACCATGATTGTGGCCAGCTTTGAGTCTTTATTCACTAATGAACCTCTTTCTAAAACAAAAGTATCACAGTTGGATTATCAGACCACTTTCTAACCAGCTTGGAATCAACAGAAAACTTCCTAGGTTTATCAACAAAAAAATATTTTTATTTTAATGGGTACACACACACACCGGCCGGGCGCGCTGTTCCCCTGGCAAGGAACTTAACCTCAACTGCTCACTCCACTGGGGAAGGATCATGGGTCAGCCATCTCAGTATAAAGAGCCTGTCAACTAAATGATGTCGAGTCGATGTATAAGAGATGGTATGTAAAGAACTGTACACACACACACACACACACACACACACACACACACACACACACACACACACACACACATTTAGACATTTATATACATTTATAAGTCCTTTTTTGAAACATTCCCGAAACCCTGAACACTTTGATACATGTTACGCGTACATTATTGGAAACATACGTATGAGAAAACGAAGGATATATATAATATGCATATACATATATATGAATGTATTAAATGCACACACACACACACACACACACACACACACACACACACACACACACACACACACACACACACACACACACACACACACACACACACACACACAGCCTTTATATGTGTGTATGCATACATATATAAAGTTACATATATAAGTATATGTAAATGGCCTTGACAGAACCTAAGTAATAATTGAACTAATGGATTGGTCAAATCAAGACCCTGAAGAAGTGAACTATTAAGTGGTTCACAATCAAACACTAAGCGTATCTGGTCTGTCTTCCGACGATGACACTAAGTGACCGGGAAAATCTTTCATAGATGAATTTACTTTTTGAAATTCTTAATTATATATGTTACTCAGCATCTGAACTAAGCTAACTTCAGCCTTAACTCGATTAACACAGTTATGTTAAGACCTTATACTATCCATCCGATACTAATGTTAATCCTACATTCATGCCATAGTCTGGTAATTATGTAGATCAAATATAGCCAGTTTTTTGTTTTCCTTATTGTATCTCTGCCGCACTAACGGGTGGCAAAAAAAAAAAAAAAAAAAAAAAATCATCTGGTTCACACATTTCCAATCCTGTTACCAATACACTATCCATTTTACCATCATTTCAATACATTGTAGAAAATTTTTAACATAAGCTTATTCAAGAAAATGTCTCTGCACTGCCGTTATCCACAAAGACATTAGTAGGAATGAAATGTTAAATTGAAATACTTTCACTTTAACAGGAATAACTAACAATTTTGCACCAGAGGGTTCACTCATGTTGTCTACTCTTCTGATACTGACTTTTAATAATCCTTGTAACTCTATATACAATTACTTGGTATACAATGTATCATTCTTTATATCCCTTTCTGATCATTAATCTTTACTGCATCACTAGAAAAATACCGCAGTTATCTTTTACTTCCTGGTTAAATTTCACGCCTAGAGTTGACTGCCAATGGAGGACAGATTATTTTTCATTTCATCCCAAAATATTCATTACTGGAAATCAGAGTGATGATGTTAAGATGTTCATAAATTTATCATGTGAATACCATACTTTTTCACAAGAGTAAGTAGAAGCACTAAGTCTTAAAGGAAATCATAATCACAGTGAAATAAATTATGATAACTATGAGTCAAGTAAAGATTTGCCAATTAATACTGACCTCCTGCATTTATGTAAATCCTCTAAAATGTATAACAGATAATTCTGAGCAGTTTAAAATCAATCATCCAAGATAGAGGTTATATTGGCAAACAATTTCAAGAACATAATTAATAGATCCATACATGAAACACTTAAAATTTATCATTATAAAACACCCAAACTCTTATTTCAAAAGGAATACAAGATAATTATAATTTTATTCAGTATTATAAAATGAATATTGTCGTGCTATTACATCACACACATATCATTTATAAATATCTATAACGAAAAATCAAAACTTTATTATACACAAAAGAGTTTCATCACATGTTCGCGTGTTGCCGTATTTGGGGTCAACTCTTAAAATTAGGAACAAAAAACTATAATAAGCTTCCAAATTAATTTAGTTTGCTTGCAGAGCATAGAGGAAACTAATCAAAATTAATGATTAAAGTGTGGTAGCCGTCACCATCTGCGAATATTCTCTCAGGAAACATTAAAGTCCAAATATACAGATTATACTGATAAATTCCCAGCAATATGGGAAAAACTGGTTATTTGTACAACTAAATTTTATCTAATACGATGCAGGTATTTGATAATATGCTGATTGTAAGTTTTTCCTGATTCCCTGACCACAAATATTAAGGTTTATATCACTGCATTAATCAGTAACAAACACAATAAAAAAGTATTGATAACTGGTACAATGAAGTTCTCAGTGCCTTATTCTCTTTCACAGTAGGATCCGTTATTATTCATAAATTAACTAAATCCTTCCTTGGGAAAAGAAAGAAACAGGTCATGGTATCCTACATCAGCATCTAAATACTGATCATGCATTTAAAGCGAAAGTCAACTCATCTCATTCAGAACACCACGGCACAGAGAAGCTGCCATGGGGCCTCCTCCAGCGTCCTGTTCCCTTCTCACTTCTCGCGAGCTATATCTGCTCTGGACACTGGCGTAGGCTGCTCGTTCTGTTCCCCAGGAACGCTAAAAGAAGAGAGCTGCTACTGACATGCTCTCACAGCATGGGAATTTTCAAACAATGTTCAAATCTTCAAGATTTTAGGATGCCACTTGGCTGCCCAATCGTTCCCCACGAAGGCCGAGAAGGAAGAGCCCCAAGAGGAGGAAGATCTCTTAATGCTAACTCTAGCACTAAATAATAATGATAAAAAACAAAGGAAATGGGTGCACGAAATTAATATGGCAAGGACAAAATATACTGTATATCATATTATGCAAGAGCTGGAAGACGATGAAGACAAATTTAATCAATATTTGAGATCATCTCCCACTCAGTTCAATAAAGCTCTCACTTATTGAACAAGATAGCAAGATACCAACTACGGGAAATCCATCATTGTGATGGAACCTCTAGCCATTACTTTGTATTGCCTATTTTTTCATAATTCCCAAAGAAGTTTCATCTTCTGAACACACGGTTATTCATGATTCACTACCTCTTCACATGTGGAGCGATGAGGCTGTGTAACATGCTGGAGAGACCGTGTAGGTAGTGGGGTGTAATGTTGTTGAGAGTCAGTAGTGTGTACAGGTATTTGTGTTTCATCTTGCTCCTCTGCTCGAGCAATAAGCTCTGAAACGTCTCTATTTACATTGCTTTGCAACCTACGAGACAATTTCCTGGTTGACTGGCATTTTTTGTATAGAAATTTCTTCTTTCTTGTAAAAGTAAGCATTAACCTCATTAACGTCACTGGAGGCACTAGACTTTCGATTAACTTTACAAGTAAATAAGTATGTCTTTTGCACTAATAATAACTAAGCGGTAGCCTGTGGGCGCTGCATCTCAGCCGCTACTTGTTCTCTTGTATCATTACCTTCTTCCAGCACGCCCTAAAACAGATTAAATCAGTCACAGTTTTGTTGTATATATAGGCCTATATATGAATGTGTGCGCGCGTGTAATCAGTGTTGATGTACATTATCAGTGTTTGATTCACAATTGAATCAAACACTCCATCTGCTGCCCGTATGGCCAAAGATTTGTTTTTTGACTGCCTGCCCACTTGATGCCTTTTTGCGTGCAATTGCTTGGCGAAAGCAATCCCGTAGTTTTTACCATTCATGTTTGTTAGTCTTGCCTGAAGACAAAAACACATTAGTCAGCCACATTATCTATCTATCTATATATCTATCTCTCTCTATATATTCTCTCTCTCTCTCTCTTTTTTTTCCATGTATATATATCCCATTTTTTTACTATATAAATTCAGGTGCTTGGCAACAGGAGACACATTTAGGACGGTTGGCTTTAGCTACTGAGTGGGGGTTTCAACAGTTTCGAAAATTGCAAATGAAGTATGCTATGCTACATGGAAAAGCATGCAATTTCTGTTCATGCCAGAACCAGATATAAACACATGGTTCAATATTGAGGTCCTTAGCTCAAAATGGCATTTCCCTTATTGCATATGCGCTGAAGATGATACAAAAAAAAACTACAAATTTACCCTTACAGGCCCAGGCTCTTATGGCAAGAATAGTGATGGTAGC